GTTATGGTATAACAAAATTACAGCAGTTTTAAATATAGAACATGGATTTGAAATACTAATGAACTTTTTTTTTGGATAAAACTTTTTGATTATTTCATTCACATTTAAAAATGTAATTCTTTCCATGCTTATTAAAAGCAATTGGTTTTAGGTATCAAGATTAAGTTATCAAGTTTTGTTTGTAGTCTAACGTTGATAATTGTATGTTTAGATATTTTTTATGTAAACGTCTTGACTCGGAGGTAAGTTTAAGAGCTTATGATGATAAGTTTCTAGGTTTGCTCCCTGTTATGGGTACATCACAGATACATATTTAAACATTGACATAAACTATATATATATGTATTTCTATTTGTTTAAATTTTCTGCGTAATTGTTAACCACCCATTACAGATGGAAGCAAGCATTTCACATTTACATCTGTTTTTAATAGGTCGTGCTTTCCTTTAACAATGAGATAAGAGCAAGACTACTTCAATTTGTCACAGGGACTTCTCGTGTTCCCATGAATGGCTTCAAGGAATTGTATGGCAGCAATGGTCCTCAATTGTTCACTATCGAGAAGTGGGGAAATACTGACAACTTGCCTCGTTCCCACACATGGTACGTTTTTGTACTTCGCAGTTAGACAAGAAGGCTGTATGATCTTTTTGTTTTTCCAGCGTTTATTTAGTAAACAGTCTTGTAATTTACATTGTACTTTAATTGATAGCTTAGTTATATGTTTACTTTATTGGAAATGTATAGATGATAATTGTTTAACCATTTGCCTCATATGGTAAGTTAGAAATAAATAGTTACTTTACTGGTATGTTGTGCTCGGTAACTGCAGTATATTTTCTTTACCTGTTGTAACATATAGTTGATAGTTCAATAACATAATTTACTTGACTGTTTACAAATACTTTTTATGGTTTAACCCTCCCTTTCACCACTGACTGAGACTTAGTTGTTATATTGTTTAACAAGAAGGTCTATAAAGTATGTCTCGAACATTACTAGCCATTACAGAAAGCATCTACTGTTTCTTGACTTACATTAAATTCTTAATTTCCAATCAAACATTTCACTAAACAAAAGATCACAATTCTTTCATAATTTATTTTTTTCTCAAGAGAATGCAGGATAGATGAGCAAATTGTTAAATTCATGAGAACAGTTTTTTCTCCATTTACAGTCTAGGTGAACATTAAAAAAATTGTAATGAAGTAAGTAAGCCTAAGGACAATGAAATATGGGAAAAAAGCTTATGCAATTTTGATTTATGTGGTCTGAACTTTCAAGGTCAGTCTTTACCATTGAAAAAGGTGGCTCTATCTGTTGGAAATATGAGGGTTTTATTAGGTTTTTCAGAATTTTGTTACTCACTAGTTACACACAGGACCATATTCTTATTGTCTTGCTTGTGGATGAATTAGGAAGTTGTGATCTTTTTGGAACTTCTACCTAGAAGTGATGTCTGACATATTGTGTTTGGTATTACCTGTTATGATGTCAGGCAAATAATTTAAACTCAAATGTCTAACATATTGTGTTTGGTATTACCTGTTATGACGTCAGGCAAATAATTTAAACTCAAATGTCTAACATATTGTGTTTGGTATTACCTGTTATGACGTCAGGCAAATAATTTAAACTCAAATGTCTGACATAGTGTGTTTGGTATTACCTGTTATGACATCAGGCAAATAATTTGAACTTAAATGTCAACTTAAAATGAAACTGAAAATTTAAAAAAAATTCTAATTCTGTACAGAACTAAACTTTTGATTATTATCACAAGTTTTTTTTCTGATTATTTTGAATAAGCCTTATTATGAATTATTAATAAACCTTATTATTTTATCTAGCAGGAACTTGCATTTTCTACAACTTATACATTCAAAACTATTGCTAACTTTAAATGTAATCTGAATTGTTATATGTTTGAGTTCTAAGTTTGAATATAGCTTTCTAATAGGGACTCTTGATTAGTCTTGTGGTTCATTAGTGCAATATTTTTTTATAGCTTCAACCGATTAGACCTTCCTCCCTATGAGAGCTACCACGATCTTCGTGATAAGATGATGCAGGCTATAGAAGGATCTAACACTTTTGGAGGTGTGGATTAACTTGAAAAGAAATTTCTTTTCTGTGAGACTTTGAGTGTATTGGATTAGATTCATGGATGATGTTCTTTGTGGAATATTGTATTCTTTATAAATATATAAAAGTGTAACTCATTTTTTTCTTTGATATACTCTTAGTAATGCTAGTTGAACAACATAACACAGTTTTAATTCTTCCTCCAGACTAAGTCTGATTTGTGATGCTAATTGCCTTGAGAAACCACTCAGTTTTTATGTTAAATATCTGTGAAAATCAACAGTTTGTATTTCAGGATGAATGTTTAGTAACTTTCTAGAGACACTATATAATACAGTGTTATTTATTATTTGGAATTATTGTGAAAAAGTATTTTTACTGTTAGAACTTTTAAGTTAGATGATAACTATACTAGTGTAAATATATTTTGTAAGTTAACACTGTTACATTTCTGGGAAAGGTGTTTATGCTCGTAGTTTCTGGTATCTAGGTATGGATGCTGTATTACTTAAAATAAAGTGAATTCTTTTTTTAATATGAAAAGTATTCTTAATTTGTTACTAATAGATATATAACTGGCAGTGTTAGGTTGATTTTGGTTACAATATACCAAGTATAAGTTGTACCAACATGATCCTCTTGTTTAAGGTATAAACACTACGGTACTAATAACCTGAACCATATATATACAGCATTTCAGAGGATCGTGTCTTTCATCGTCCAGCCCAACTGACAAGTTCAGGTATTGAATGAAAGGCTTTGTGGGCAATGACTTATGGCAGACAAAAGATAGGTCTGAAATGCTATCTTTATATGCTTCCGATTTTGTATCCGATATAGTCAACTTAAGAGAAACGTCAAAAACATCTGCCCCTTATGTGTTTTTTATCACCAGTTTTAGGCCTATTGGTTTCCTAGTGCTTCACTGGTTTTTTGGAGTTTTAAATCATGGTATCTTACATGACATGAAAAACACTAGTAACCTGAATCAAAATTAATTTGCAGAGTTTAGTACAGTACTAGTGAGAAAAAACAAAACTAATACCTTATAATTGATGTCTACTGTATATCACTATTTTGTCCTGTACTTCACCTTATAGTTAGTGTCAAGGGTGTCCATTCAGGGGTGACAAAATATATATATTTTTGCCCCACTAATATTTTATTATACACCAAGTTTAATTCTCTTTCAATGTTTACAAATTTTAGTAATTAATTGTGGATCTGTGCTTTTTGTGTGTGTGTGTGTGTGATGAAGAAAAATACATTGTTATAAACAGTTATTTCTTATTTGCCACCCCAATATATTTCTTGAATTGATACTTCTGGTTAGTGCAATAGAAATGTAGAAGACAGTTTTTATAAAGAAATGTATTTATAAAAAAATTTTCACCAGTTAGTATTTTATTCCCGTGTTCCGCATGTGGGCCAAAGCTGTAACTTTTATAATTGGAGTGATCATAAAAGAATCAACTGAGTTTTTTTTTCTAGCCATACAGTTTTTCAATTTTATCTTGAAGAAGAAGATTGTTAATGATTTCACAATCAGTTGTTAGTAAACTCTTGAAGTTATTGTCATGGAAACCACATTAGCTTTGTGTATATACCTTGAGTCTTCGCAGTCTGTAGACTTGTTATAGTTGTTGATGAGTTAAAAATATAATATTTTGATTGTTTTAAATTGGTTTTGTACTTAACTGGTTTTGTTACTGCAGTGAAAATGTTTATATAGACTAGAAATTCATGGACAGACATTGAAAACTATTGTATCTGAAAGCCGTGGAAAGACTTTTTTTATCTTCTCTGTGGTATAAAATGAGATTAATAATGTATATAACTAGCTTTATTAGAGAAGAGTTTTTGAATTATGTATGCTTTGAAATTGTAATTTTTATGGTTGAACTAACTTTTTATAGGCTGCTACGAAACAGTTAAGTTGTATAAGTGATAAAAACAAAACAGTTTGAAACTATTTTCATAAGTAACTATGAAATTTAAGGAAAGTCTGCATATTGGTATGCAAATTTATGTGAATTCAAAGTAACCATAGTTGTATCTGTTAAAACCTTGAGAGAGCTATGTAGATTAGGTTAATTATCATTATCAAAAAATGTTTCTTAGTGCTGATAATCACATTTGTACAGTACCACTTCTGTTGCTCAGAGTGCTGTCTCTGTAGGCCTATAGTGCCTTATTTCTGTGCTTTTTTACCTGATATTATGGTAGCTTTGGTTGTGTTTTAGACTATTGTTTGTAAAGTTTCAGTATGTAATTCTCTAGTAGGTTCTACTCATCCCGGGTCTGCTGAGAAATATGGAATTGAATTTTTTGATTCTTTAGAGAATGTTTTCAACGAGCTTATAGAAAGGCTTTAATTATAATTGAACATTCCTGTGAACAATTTTTTTTTTTTTGGCATGCCGTTAAAAAGGATTAGTTACATTTCATCATATAATCGGTTACTTTCAAGCCCCAAGATAAGGTTGATGTTAATCCTACATTTTTATCACATGCTCTCTTAACATAAACCATGACTGGGATGATGTTATTGTAGCCTTGACTCGTCAAACCAAGACTATTGCTGATTTTTACTGTTTGATACATGCATCCGTATTAAGTTTGATGTGATCGTTGTTTTAAAGTAGAACGACCCATAATGGATAGCATTTCTCTTGATTGAACTTTAAAGTAGGAATAATGACACTATATTCCATGAGTAATGATGTGAATAGACGTTTTGTAGATGTGCTTTTAGTTGATAGGATGTTTTGGGCAACCATCATTCTTCGTGTCCAGAGGAAGATAGGTACAGTACTATCAATTAAAAGTATTTCTGGAAAAATGTATTTTTGATCTTATTACCTGTTGCATAAAAACAAACACGTTTCAAACTATCTTGTGAAGTTTGTTTTTAAAGAACTATTCTACTTAACAAAAGAAAAGCAAGGATTATTATATTACATCCTTTGTAAACTTGATAGTAATACTACGTTGTTTTCATTCTCGCTACTTTTCTAAACAGTAACACCTTTACGTTTTTACACCTAAGACTGACATCCTCCAGTTTAGTCCTTCATAAATAAGGTAATGAAAGCCTGAACCGATGCTCTTTTAAAAAATTCCATCAGTAAAGAAGTGTTTAAGAGAACTTAGATTTTTTTAAACATAAAATTGTTTATACAGTTGGCTAATCTTTAGCTTCAACGTGTTTGTTTGAACTTTTAACTATTTGGTATTACAGTTTCTTAAATGGTCTTTTAGTTAATGTTGGTTTAAAAGTTTTATTTGTACACTCGGAACTGTTTGGAAGCTTTTCTTTCTTCTCATATTGTGGATACAAGATGTAATTTTGTGGTTAAGTTAAATATAAAGTAATATGATCTTTTCATGAAATACACCGATTTTTAGAATTTTGTAAATATTAACTTTACAGAATAAAAAAAATCTTTATTAACTAAATAGTTTGTACTGTTTGTTGCCATTTTAAATTAAGTAAATTTACAAGACTGTATATAACACGGGGGGTGGTGGGGGTGGAGAATTTTAATATTTGGAATTACTAAGATACAAAAGAAATTTTTTCTAAAATTTCTCTACAGAGAAATATTGTATTTTTCAAATTAAAACCATTTGTTTAGTCCCATAGTGTGCAACTGTGGGGTACACCTCCCAGCTGGAGGGGTATGGGGCACACAACTCTAACTATGGGAGTATACAAATTGAAAAACAAACATTATAAATATTACTACTATTAAGTAATATAATAACGACTAACGTGTGAAAACTATGTATATCATATGTACACAAAGTTTTTCCAGTCGTATTCAGAAGTTTATTAAAGAGAAAACCAGTATCATCCGGCAGTATGTTGTTTGACAGTAGATTGGGGGGGGGGGGGCATTGCTTGAGAAATCTGTAAGTCTATGCATGTTATATGTGAACAGATATATGATAAAAATACAACATACTAAAAATTGTATTTCTCAAATACAAGAAATTACGCCAGTAAAAATAATCCTATAAAATGTTATTTATTTAAAACTAACAATAACTGTGTTTTTTTTAGATAGTTTCCTGTGAAATGCAAGAACACTGCATTTTTTTTGCCATCCATATTTCATTTAGTCTTCCTATTAACCTCCAGGGGGCATCATATCCAGCAGTATAATGGCGACTTATGTGAACTTCTTATGTCATTTCTAACTTTTGTTTTCAGGATTGCTACTTCTCCTTCCCATGCTATCTCACTCATTACCCAACCTCCCCAACGCTCCTGTTTGACAATACAAAACAATGGGTTATTCACAATAACGTTGAAAGCTTTACTTCATGTATATTCATGAATATTTATTATTTACAATACATTTCTTTATGTGAAATCATTGTTTTTCCAAAACGTGCACTACGTAATATTGAATTATAATAGGAGTTCTGACTTTAAAAAATCAATAATATTAACATTTGGAGGCTTATGTTAGTTATCAACTAAGAGGTAACCACTAAGTCCTTGCAATATCCAGTCACGCAGTATTTTCTGTTATCTAAATGTAATGACTTGGACTGAGATGGTTAACTTGAAATGCTGCCCTACTCAATGAACTAGTGACTGGAATGGTTATAACTTGAACTGCTGCCCTATCTGACAGCCTAGCGACTGGGATGGTTAACTTGAACTGCTGCCCTACCTGACAGCCTAGCGACTGGGATGGTTAACTTGAAATGCTGCCTAGCCTGACAACCTAGTGACTGAGATGGTTAACTTGAAATGCTGCCCAGCCTGACAACGTAGTGACTGAGATGGTTAACTTGAAATGCTGCCCTACTCAATGAACTAGTGACTGAGATGGTTATAACTTGAAATGCTGCCCTACCTGATAGCCTAGCGACTGGGATGGTTAACTTGAACTGCTGCCCTACCTGACAGCCTAGCGACTGGGATGGTTAACTTGAACTGCTGCCCT